TCTCTGAAAGGCGAGGCAAATGCCAGTCTCACTCTGTGACGCGTCTGGGACATTACCTTCTCTCTACATCAGTGGTTCTCAACCTTCCTAATGCCCCGACCCTTTAATACAGTTCCTCATGTGGTGGTGACCCCCCAACCATAACATTATTTTCGTTGCTACTTCATAACTATGAAGTAGTTATGTAAATATCTGATATGCAGGATATATTTTCATAGCTGTAAATTGAATATAATGAAAGCATAGTGATTAATCACAAAACAATATGTAATCATATATTGTGAAATGTTTATTTCTAATTACAAATAAATGAAATTTTGGCTTGAAGCATGGCGTAGCATGGGTAACAGTCTTCGCACTGGGAACTCGTATGTGGGCCTACCTGCATGTGGGCGGACCGCCTGGAGACGGATAGAGGAGTGGGGTCTCGGTTCCTAAGACCATTAGAAATAGGTGTTTTCTGAGTCTTAGGCGGCCCCTGTGGAAGGGGTCGCAACCCACAGGCTGAGAACTGCTGCTCTACAGGGATCCGGTATTCATTATTGCCTTAGCTTCTTGTCTTCAACAAGCGTTCAGAAAGAGACTGGCTGCTAGAAAAGAGGACCTCCCCTTACACAAGGGCGTGATGCTGCAACTCTGTAACTAAGGGGAACCCTTGGCCACTTGGTCCATGCAGAGGATATCGTGGAACGTCTGCCATTTCAAGGACCCGTGGAGGTGCGGTGTGGTGTGGTGCTGGGGCACTCGCACAAGCTGAAAAGCCTGCAGTGTGACCAGGGTGTTCCAGTTCCATTCCCTCTTGCCAATCTGCATTGCTATCCCTGCTATACTGGATCAGAATCTACATTTTACCAAGACCCACTCATACAAGGCTCCATAGAATCGTGTTACAATGTGAGATTCTAATTCAGTACATCTGGAGCAGCAACGCGCATTCTTAGCCCGTGGTTAAACCTGAGGGAATCCGTTTGAAGCCCTGGTTTGAAACTTCCAGTCACTGAGCCGGAGACAGGTGTATCCATCTGCTTCATAAAGGTTTCCAGCCTTGGAGACCCTGTGGGCCAGTTCTGTCCTGTAGATTCTCCAGGATTTGGAAGTGATGTGATGGTGATGAGTTTGGCTTGGTTTGTGGTAGATACCATTCTGCACGGGGAGGTTAACTACCCTGTTTGTATTTACTTGGCATTGGAACCAGGCCATCATGCTGCCTTCTCCCCCCCTGCAGCACACAGAAAACCCACACCAGTGGGTATATCCTGAGTGTACATGGTCTCCAACCAGCACCTGGCTGGAGGCCAGGCCGGGACGTGGAGCTGTGAATCTACTGAGTGGCAGTCCAGGGCAGGGTGAGCTTAATTCTGCCCAGATCCTCCGCATCTGTTCGCTTCTCTTTCCCCCCAGCAATCGTGGCCATCCGGCAGTTCTTTTTCCCTCCTTTCTAGTAGATAGGATTTTCACCTCTTCCCCAACCAGGGTAGAATCTGTTTCTTCACAGCATCACAGTCTGAGATATTGAGATTGAAATGCTTCTGATTGGAGAAGAGGTAAAGGGAGGGCAAGAGAGGCCACAGGACTTGCCCTGATGTTGGAAAATTCCCTTTGCAGCCCAGGTTGCCCTTCATATCTCAGCTGTGCTCAGATAGCACAGGGTCACGTAGCCACTGTGCCAACTGATCTTACAAACAAAACCTCCAGTTCCTTGAGCATAGACCAGAAGCTACAGAATCAGGAAGCTGTTGCGATGGCTACTAGGGCCACTTCTGGCATGATCTACTTCATCCCAATCTCCCCATGTAGCTGATCGATGAGACCGAAAATCATTTTCTGAACCTGGCTTCAAAGAAGTATGGGAATTGTAGGTTTTTCTCTGCCTCCATGCTCCGCAGCAGTTCTCAACCTGGGGGTCGAACGACCCTTTCACAGGGGTCGCCTGATTCAAAACAGTAGTAAAATGACAGTTATGAAGTAGCAATGAAAATAATTTTATGGTTGGGGGGGTAACCACACCATGAGGGTTGCCGCATTAGGAAGGTTGAGAACCACTGCTCCAAAGGAACAGCATAGCAGGGGTGGAGTCTAGCCTGTCAATCAGGTCACAGCTTGATGACCTCATTTAGAGACAAGAAGGAGATAAATAGCTCACTGGAGGTCAGATACATGCGCTCTCTTTGCCCGTCTCCCTATAAGACATTCCTGTTGACAAGCCACATGGAAACACACTGATGGCAGCCAGAGCCCTGGAGCTGGAGGATCCACGTGGAGATCCACGCCAGCACTGAGATGCTTCCACTGCCCGTGGATCCACAAGACTTTCCACCCACTGGCCTGTGATCTTCCTGCATTCAGTGTGCATGTGTTGCATGAGTTTGAAGAGGAATTTATAGATTGGTATTGGACATATGGGCTAATATCGGACTTATAGACTTCATATAGACTGAGCTGTGATGCTTTCTTAATATACAATTACTCTTTGATATAAAGTTCTCCCTTACACACATATGAGTGTCTCTAGATTTGTTTCTCTAGTCAACCCGGACTAACAGCAGGCTACACAGTGGGCTGCTAACCTCAGGTCAACAGTCCAACTCCCCAGTGTTTCTTTGAGAGAAATCCTTTAAAGACGACAGCCTTGGAAACCCAAAGGGGTAGATCAGCTGTCCTATGTGGTCTCTGAGTTGGCGTCGACTCAATGGCAGTGACTTTGAGTTTGCGGCTTGGTTTAGCCCTGGTGACTGTTTACCCCAGACCCATGCCTATTCAAGGCTTAGTGCATCCAGGACTGCAGAAATGGGACATGTTCTATGTATGTGTGACCCCATAAATGCCAGGTTCTCCAGTTTAAACAGTGCTACTGACGTGTTGGGATCTGGGACACAGAAGAGGTTGGCTCAGACATGGAAGGGTTTTGTGTGAATCAGCTCCTTGGGCTTCTTAAGAAGACAGGAATCTCATTTCCTAGAAGACATTCTCATTTTCTTATCAAATGGAAGCGCCTGCCCGATGTTCTGGTCACGAAAATCCAGATGATGCTGGCCATGGAACAACTGTCGGTGCCTCGAGAGGAAAAGGCAAGGATTCCTTCCATATCTTTCAAAGACCCGAGATGTCACCTCTACTCACTGCCCCATCCCATGTCTCCTTCAGCTGAAAGGCACAGAGCTGAGAAATGGTCCCTCCGCTGGGCTTGGCTGGCGCCCTGGGGTCACTGCAGAAAACCTGAGACCTCTTTTACCGTGACCTTCCTTGCCCTTTATTTTTGTATAAAAGAGAAATATGTGGATGCAGAAGGAAGCCTAGGAGTTTGTGGCCCATGTCCATCCTAGGGTCCATCAGGCAGCAGTAACTCTATCAGCTCAGCTGGGGGCAGCCAGCAGGCCTGGAGAGCCAGGAATCTTGCAGCCACCAGGTTTGGGGGTGGGGGGGATGCTGTTTGACTTTGGGCAGCACCAAATAAGCCCATCTCCACTGAGGTAACCCTGGAGTTCAAGGAAGAACCCTGCCTCTCCCTCAGCCCAAAGAATGAAGTTCTGGAGCCAAGGGTATCAAAGGACAAATGTGCTATATTAGCATGCAGACGGATGACAATGCACTGCAGCAGGAAGCACATGGCGGATACGTACAATAGTCTCTATATAGTCTGATCATCAGTATAAAATAAGTTATACTTGAGTCTGTTTCCCATCGCAGTAGGATCATAGCATACAAGGTGCCTGATTTAGTGGCCACAGAGCAAGCCCAGGGAGAGAGACCATGAAGGGGCCTTGAGTGTGGGGAGGATCTGCCAGAAACTGCAGAGACCCTGGGGATGCCCCCGGGGAACAAAACCTTGGACCCCTTCATCCTGGGCTAAGGTAGCCTTCTGAGCATCCCCACCTGGTACGAGAGCTGGTGGTGGGTTTGCATGGGATGATGCAGACTGCTGGGCCGGGAGGCTGAGCAGACAGGTGCCAGCAGCATCCAGCAGGCCAGCCCACGCACCGGCTGGCTCTGCTGGACTTCAGTGGCTTTAGGAACACGGGGGACCCACTGCCAGAAGGCACAGTTTGCTTCTGTGATGTGACAGATGGCTAGCATGCTGGCCTCCAAAGTGATGGCTGCCCCCCTCCCTCTGGTCAGCCTGCTCTGTGGGGCTGGGAAGGGGTCTGCAGGCTCGGCTTGTTCTCTGGCTGCATCTTGTCCCAGCAGCATGAAGCCTGGAAGCCTGGCTTCAAATCCTCTGCCCCATCACATGTGACCTCTGTCACTGCAGGTGGGTCACCCACACTCAAGCTCCACCTCTGCAGCGTGGGGGGCCTAATGCATACTTCCCTAGGGGGGCTCAGGGGGGATCGTGTCTATAAAACGCCTCCCGAGTGCCTGGCCCAGAGGAGGGCTGGATCCATGGGAGGCACGTAGGAGTGGGCAGATGTCCCGGCCCAGGAGGCCACGAGCGTGGATCTCCTCAAACACGTGGCCTCTTGCTGCCACCCTGACTGGGTCCCTCTGTCCTCGCTTTCTGAAATTCTTTAAGTAAAGAGCCGCGTTTTCCATGGGAGACACAAGCTTAGGAAAGAGCACCCACACATGAAGCGAATGTCTCCTCCCCTCTGGGACCGAACCAACTGTCTGTCCCCCCCACGCCCTGGCAGCGGCCCTCCGCCCCAGGGCTCCCGTTTCCTAGCCTCTGAGCAGATTTCATACAGGGAAGCCAAAGAGGGAGCAAGTGCACCATACAAGAGTGAATTGCCTTTTAAGTGAAAAAAGCCTTTTCCATCTGCTCAGAGTCCGGATCGGGAACTGGGGGCCCTGGGGGTGCGCGGCCACCTGTAGGTGAGTCAACCGCCCCTGCGGAAGCCGGCAGGCCTCTGGGTAGTGGAAGGTGGGAGGGGAAACAGGCATAGGCTTGAAACGTGGGCCCCTGGGCAGGGGAGGGGGTGGGGGTTGCTTCTGGGCTTGCACCAATCCTGAGGACCTGGAGATGCGTGCGTGGAAACCTGAGGACTGGCATCCTCTCACACCTACAATGCGATTCTCGCGATCTGTGGGTGCAAGTGTGCGCGCGCAGCTCACCGCCCCTCCGGTTCCCTGCCTGCCCCGCGCCATCACTCCAGGATTTTCCTCTTGGAGGGGGGCAGGAGGTGAGCAGGCAGCTCGTTGGGCAGCTCGTGCCCCTCCAGCTTGACCTTGATGAGGTGGTTGGCGAGTGCAAACTCCTCGTCGTCCAGCATGCCATCTTTGTCGATGTCGGCCAGCTTCCAGATCTTGCCCAGGACGCTGTTGGGCAGCTTGGAGCGCACCATCTCCTTCTTGGCGTTGGCGCCCGTGATCTTGCCGTCCACCGGCGACAGGGTGTAGAAGATCTCGTCGTACATGGGCTTGTCCCTGGCCACCACCCACTCGGCATCATCGATGCCCTCGCCAGCCCCCTCCCCATAGCCATGCCCGAAGGGGCCGTGCAGCGTGCCCTCGAAGGCTCCTCCCTTGACCATCTGCACCGGCCGCTGGCTCTCCTCCTGGCGCACCAGCACCATAAGCTGAGCAATGTCGTGCGCCAGCATGTCATCCACCACCTCCAGCAGCTTGCTTTTTAGGGGCTGGAACTTGCTGAAGTCTTGGGCCTGCAACTGGTCCTGCGGAAAAAGAGAGGGAAGATGGCGAGGATGACTCACCGTGGAAGGACATTGCTTCTGCAAGCGAGGGTACCTTGCAGTCAGACCAGATGCTCACAGGCCAAAGAAAGGGGTTTGTCCTAGAGACTAAGTTGGTCTGCGTCCAAGAGAGCGAGGGGAGGACGGGATAGGAAGGAGGCTTCCTGGGCTGGTGATGTGTTTCAGGAAGAAGGTGGGGGTTGCAGAGTACAGGGAAGTGGGCCAGGGAAGAAAAACACAACTTTAACAGTGATTGGTTTGATCGGTTCAATATGTTTCTAGAGAGCACCTAAGGAAAGCCTCTTTCAGTGAGGTTTAGCGACCGGGCAGGGTTTCTCGAATGGTACACCCCTCTGAGACTGAGTGATGTGGGTCTCGGCTCTAATACGGATTATCCTTGTGAAAACAGTGCTTCCAACACCGTCTCATTCATTTCCCTGCTGAAGGAGTAAAATCACAAATATGTGCCCTTTGAGAGGAAGCAAAAGGGAGCCATGTGCAGCCTGAGCACCAGATCCGAACCGAAGCCCAGGTCCTCCCCAAGGCAGTGGCCGGCCGCCAGGATGCACAGTGTAGTTTTCCGAATCTCAGCCTCTCCCCTGTGGGATCACACTCAGGAGCCAGAGACAGGTGTGCAGACTTGGGAAAGCTGTCCCTCTTGCTTTCATAGGACCACCCACACCATCCCTTTCAAGGTCTGAGTCCAGAACACCCAGTCTCCCCTTGCCTGAATTGAGAGTACCCCACTTTCAGCCCTGGCTCTGCTTACTCACAGTAAGTCTCTGAACACTGGGGAGACGCCAGTGCTCAGGAACTGTCACAGGGTCAAGCACATCAAGGTCACTGCCAAGAAATTCAGAAAATTCCCCAGCTACCTTCCAAGAGCAGGTGTTTGCAAGAACACATCTCACTTCCCTTCTAGGGCAGGGCTTTTAGCACAGAGGTGAGTGAGGGTCCTGATTCCTCCATGCTCGGCCCAGTCTGTTCTTATCTAGGTGTGCTTGGTGCGCTCCCAAGTAAACCAAAGCAACCAGCTGCTGTTAGGTAACCCCACTTGTATCAGAGGAGAGCTGTGTTCCCATCGGGTTTTCAGTGGCTGCTTTTGGGAAGTAGATCACCCGGCCTTTCTTCTGATGCTCTCCTGGGTGGACTTGACCTCCAATTGTTTGGCTAGCAGCATTTGGTTAGTACATTAACCATCTGTACTATCTAGGGCTCTTAAGTTGGGGTACTAACATCTTCTGGATGGTCAGAAGGGGTGCTCCCATCACCCCAAACACACACCTACACAGAACAACCTTTACTTTTTTGATTTAGTTCACTTATCCACAAGACACAGTTTAGCCTGGCTCTCAAGGCAGAAGGGAAAATCCTATTCGAGGCTGAGAAAGGATCCCTTACATTAGAAAAAGAAGTGGGTTGGTCATGTGGTCCCTGCAAAATCTCATCTTCCCAAATATTTGCTTACAGATGAGTAAAGAAGGAGATATGAAAAACTAGGATTCCAAGCCACCACCGAGTCTTAAACACGTATTACATTAGGTCAATTTTGAAATCAGGGACTTGCTCCTACCCAACCCACTGCCAGAGTCCAACGCAAGGCTGCCAATCTTTCTCGGAACTGCCAACTTGGCAGTGCAATGCCTACCCGGCAGCACCACCTGGACTGCTTGCAGTTGGTGGTTACATCAATGCACGATTACCTGCAACAATACGTACTGTGAATTTCTTTCCTTATGTTTCCCAGGCAGAAATCTAAAGCACCTTTTCTGCAGCAGTGTAGTAATGATCTGAAAGCCCTTATCGGAAAGCTTGGTTTCCAACTCTGGCAGTTACATCATTTCATGTCAACTTGAAGCTAAATAAAAATGCAGGGGTGGAGTTTAGCTTGTCTATCAGGTCGCAGCCTGATGACCTCACTTGGAGGTGTGACTGAGATGTATATCTCTCTGGAGATGGGCCTCTCTTTGCCTTCACCTCCCTGCTGGCTGACCCGGATTGCTACCAGAGCCCTGGGATGTTACCACTGCAATTGGGGCCACATGACTTTGCACCTACCAACCTGTGATCTTCCTGCATGCTGCATCATTGCATGTGACTGTGTGAGTCTGAAGAGGGACTTATG